GCCATCCTGCTCTTTTATTTTGATTTATCGTAGTATATGCTAGCGTCTTGCCAAAAATATTTCTCAAGTCTGCTTCCGAAAACATTTTCAGTTCCAGTGAAACAAGTCCACAATCTCATCCAGAGTCATCAGGCCATGGGATAAAATTTCTGCACTCACCTCGTTCTACACTTGAAGCCCTTCCTTCCGTAGCTTCACCTGATCTTAATCGTGGCTCATATAACACTAGCCCTTCAAATGTTCCAAATAGTCTGTTCTCAGGAACTGGAATAAACAGTCCTTATGCCATGTTGAGGACTCATGGACGGGACCTCCCATTCGTCTAAGACTACGGAGGGAAATAAAATCACAAGTCTGTTGTACAGCCAGGAGAATACGACTTTATTTATTTATTAATTTGCTTCAAGTTCTATTCATTAAGTCGCTACTGCATTTGTGGGATTGTATTCTGTGTAATTTTGCTACAGACCCCAAGCGACTTTAAACCTCTGTAGTCTGTAGGCTCATGTGTGGATTTTTTTTCCTCCTCCTAGCTCTTGCTGAATATCTGACAAGAAAAACTACTGTTAGAGGATATAGTTTGATCTTAGATATGATCTACAGACTCGTAATACAATTTGGCTGATCATGTAAATATTGAAGTTTCTGCCTTCTTTCTACAGTCAAACCATTTGAACATTTTTTTTTTCAGGAAATTCCTAGTCTTGATTTGCAGTTTCATATGCTGTTCTTCTTTGTTGGTCTATCCTCGTGCAGTGCTTTCTTTGGAACCAAAGCTAGAGTATGTACTTAAAAAACAATAGCAGTGGCCTTGTATAGACTAGTTATGATTTGAAGTTATATTGGACTAATGTTATTTTCCATATGTTGGATTAAGATTACAAATTTTATCACGTGTCCATACAATTCTCTTATAAATTTTTAGCTAATGGCAGTCTATGTAGACTTCTAAGAGGAAAAGTTAGAATTTTGGGCCGACGTTGACCAGAGAAAGCCTGTTTTGATTAGACTTCTATTGCCAATAATAGAGCCAAATGTCCATTCAATAACAAGGGATATACGTGTTGGTGGGGCAGTAGTTTGAAATTATTCATTGTATTGAAGAGTTTTTTTAAGAAAGAACCCTTCAGCTTCCATTCGTACAAATATTAGCATCTTCATACAAGATTACTTGTATTCACTGTTAAAACACTACCTTGGAGGGAGTTTGACAACTTTAATCCAATGGTATTTTGTAATAAGTTTATGTTTTTTGTCGGGCTAGAATGTGATCTCGATTAATTTACTGAAGTCGACTTCGCCAATCTTGTCTTTATTCTATATAGGTACAAAACTATGTCAACATTCAATATCATATTAGAGATCCATTTGATATGACTTGAAAAATCAAAATGAGCTTCTGAAATCAAAAAATTACTAGAAAACATTTTCAGTTCCAGTGAAACAAGTCCACAATCTCATCCAGAGTCATCAGGCCATGGGATAAAATTTCTGCACTCACCTCGTTCTACACTTGAAGCCCTTCCTTCCGTAGCTTCACCAGATCTTAATCGTGGCTCATATAACACTAGCCCGTCAAATGTTCCAAATAGTTTGTTCTCAGGAACTGGAATAAACAGTCCTTATGCCGTGTTGAGGACTCATGGACGGGACCTCTCATTTGTCTAAGACTACGGAGGGAAATAAAATCACAAGTCTGTTGTACAGCCAGGAGAATACGACTTTATTTATTTATTAATTTGCTTCAACTTCTATTCATTGAGTCGCTACTGCATTTGTGGGATTGTATTCTGTGTAATTTTGCTACAGACCCCATGCGACTTTAAACCTCTGTAGTCTGTAGGCTCATGTGTGGATTTTTTTTCCTCCTCCTAGCTCTTGCAGAATATCTGACAAGAAAAACTACTGTTAGAGGATATAGTTTGATCTTAGATATGATCTACAGACTCGTAATACAATTTGGCTGATCATGTAAATATTGAAGTTTCTGCCTTCTTTCTACAGTCAAACGATTTGAACATTTTTTTTTCAGGAAATTCATAGTCTTGATTTGCAGTTTCATATGCTGTTCTTATTTGTTGGTCTATCCTCGTGCAGTGCTTTCTTTGGAACCAAAGCTAGAGTATGTACTTAAAAAACAATAGCAGTGGCCTTGTATAGACTAGTTATGATTTGAAGTGATATTGGACTAATGTTATTTTCCATATGTTGGATTAAGATTACAAATTTTATCACGTGTCCATACAATTCTCATATAAATTTTTAGCTCATGGCAGTCTATGTAGACTTCTAAAAGGAAAATTTAGAATTTTGGGCCGACGTTGACCAGAGAAAGCTGTTTTGATTAGACTTCTATTGCCAATAATAGAGCCAAATGTCCATTCAATAACAAGGGATATATGTGTTGGTGGGGCAGTAGTTTGAAATTATTCATTGTATTGAAGAGTATTTTAAGAAAGAACCCTTCAGCTTCCATTCGTACAAATATTAGCATCTTCATACAAGATTACTTGTATTCACTGTTAAACACTACCTTGGAGGGAGTTTGACAACTTTAATCCATTGGTATTTTGCAGTAAGTTTATGTTTTTTGTCGGGCTAGAATCTGATCTCGATTAATTTACTGAAGTCTACTTCGCCTATCTTGTCTTTATTCTATGTAGGTACAAAACTATGTTAACATTCAATATCATATTAGAGATCCATTTGATATGACTTGAAAAATCAAAACGAGCTTCTGAAATCAAAAAATTACTTGTAACCTACAACTAAAGAAGAAATATTCGAAGGGAAACAACACACCAATCCAATAAATCTCCACCTTAAAAGAATGTATCAATGCCGTACAACTTTTAATATCATATATCATCTTATGAACCAAGTTAGAACATCTCCAAGAAATTGTGGATTGCATTAAAATGTGTGCAACATCACCAAAAATATTTACACGGCAACAAAAAAGTGGAGGATAACACCCTCCACAGGGGTATGCCAAACATCGTCCATTTAATTTTTTATAGTTCATTTCCACACTTTCTTAACGTTCTATCTCTTGTACGCGTGACTTACAATTAGTGCAATCCACAGTCTGTTAGAGAAGCTCTTCTCTTCATCTCCATCTTGTTTGTCACATGTACACTCATCAATATTATTGCATTGGAGATGCTTTTAAATTATGTGGTTGTATGATAAAAGTTTTGGCAATTTTGCTAAAAATTAATGAAATTTGTGGTTAAAAATAAAAGCTGAGTCCAATGAAATATGTGAAAAAACTAAGGGTGTGTCTGGTCCGGATTCAGCTTGAATTATAAGCAAAAATGTTACCGTTGCCAGCAAAAATGTTACCGTTGCTAACCCATTACCTTCATGTATTAAATGCTGGCAGACCACCTTTTCAGTAGTGGCAGAATGAGTCAGGTCCGGAAATTCCATTGTTGCCCAATGTTTTATTTTCAGTACATTACCAGGAGAAATTCACTTGAGGGCAATTTCGGTACTGGGCCATATTTTCTGCCACAAATCTATCACGTGGGCCTGATTGATTTTCAGCAAAAATTGATTTTCCAAGGCAAAAATGGGGACCAGACACGCCCTAATTATTGACTTCAATCTCAACTTTTTAACAACTTAGGGGTTGTTCTCTCCGTATTTCAATTTTGTGTTTTTTGTTTTGAATTCATTTTGAGTGTCCATTTTGAGATGATTGAAACCGTGTTCTTTTTGCCATTTTTAAAAATTATTTTTAAATTTTTGTCCAAGTTATAACTGAAAACACTCTAAATCATAACTACAAATTTGTCGTTTTGGATTTTCTTTGTAAATTTTGAATTTGTTTTCAAAAACGTGTTTTTCGAAAATCGGAAAGAGAACACATTCTTACTATTTTGAAAAATAAAAAATAGAAAATGACTTGAAAACTGCGAATAGAACATGTCCTTAAATTTTCTCAAACCAACACTGTAGTTCAATTGCTTAATCAAGTCTTACACTCTTAAGCTCGAATATATCAATCTTTTGTGGTAACATATTTTTTTCGACAATTTTCTTTGAAAGTGGATACGCTTCGTATTTGTACGGTAGAATTGGTTCACTACCAAATGAACTGCACTCAAACTATTACAATGCAAGTTGATGTAATTCTGCGCAAATCCCAATTTTAAGGAGTAAAATGAGAAAATGATAGGGTTTGAGACCAATATGTGACTAATTCCAAAGCTTGGGACAGCTCATGCAATTTATATGATTACAATTGGGGTGTGTTTGAGCCACACTATTTTTGAAAAATGTATTTTGGAATAGTAGATTGATGGAGAATGTATGGTTAAAAAAAAAAGAAAAATTATTGATGTGTATAAAATATTATTTTATTGAAGAATGTGTGGTTAAAAATGAGTAGAAAAATGAGAATGAAAATTTTAGGCCCTGTTTGGGAGGGATTCTCAAAATTCTAAAGTAAATCAATTCTCATTTTCAACCACACATTTTTCAATAAAATAATATTTTCCATCACATCATAATTTTTTCTTCTTTTTCAACTACACATTTCCTATCATATCACTATTCAAAAATCAATTATTCCCCCAAAAATCCCTACCAAAATTAAGTTACTTTTTGAATAGACTTACTTTTATTTAAAATTTTGCCGAACATGCTCTTAATGTGCAAGGATTCAAGAATAAAAGACTGGACTTGTTCTTAGAGATTTTTTTTTTTAAAATTATTTTCCTCGAAATCATTTTTAACTACAAATTATTTTTTTCTTGAAAAAATCTCTATCAACAAATTTGTAGAATTAACACATAATCTCTACGAACAAAACTTTCAAAAAATTGCACATTTCCTATCATATCACTATTAAAAATCAATTATTCCTCCAAAAATTCTTCCCAAGCAAGCACCTATGTGTACCAAACAGCGGCTTGATATTTTTGCGACTTTCGAAACAAACTCCTTCCCTCCCATCTCCCGCTCCCGCCCTCTCATTCACAAACACTGGCAAAATGGAAGAAGAAAGTACCAAGATTCTCAAAATCTCCGATCTAATTCAACGTTCTCAACCCCTCACCGGTGCATTCACCCTCAGTCCCAGCCGCCCAGTTCCATACCCTAAGCCCCTCTCACCGTCCTGTCCAATTCAGCATACAAAACCGTCCGATGCCACTTCTAGAAACCCTAGCCTCAAATTCCTAAAACCCTTAAAACACTCTACCCTCATCATTGGAACCTTGACTCTACCCTCTTACATTAGCAATACTTCCACAATCAAATGCAACTGCTTTCAGTTATCCGATGATTCCGCGGTCATTTGCTGCGACATTTTGAATTTTGACCCTACAACTATTGGTCGAAAAATTCGAATCCTTGCTTGGAATTTTATTCCTTTAAAACGTGGAAATGGGAGTGGAAAGGGTGGGTTTCTGGAAATTGTTAGCTGGGATTTTTTTGAATCTCTCAGTGGGAAAAATTCTTCTATGTCGAGTTTTAATTCTTTTAGTATTCATACGGGCTCCCCTATAGCTTTTAAAGATAATTCAAATGCTAAATATTTAGTTTTTGGTGTGGTAGAGTCCATAAGCCCTGTTTCGATTGTTCCATGTACAACCAGGGAAAGTAGTTCAAGTAATATTAGTGGCTTTCTTGTACATGTTTTAATTTGTGAGTGCAAGGTTTGTAGTTCAAAAATCTTGACGTCAGGATTGGGTAATTTGAGTGAGAAAAATAGGAAAGATCATTGTTTTATTAAGCCAGTGATTGTATACTTTTGTGGGTTGGCCTCGTCATGGCATCCTGTCATTTCGAGATTGTCTGGGGACATTACTTTGTTTTCAGGGTTGACGAAAAAGTTGGTATTTGTAGGGAAAGATCAATCCCACTTAATGTATGTCACAACAGACAAAGCGTCATTGCATATTCCTAAAATGTTGAAGAAATGGAGTTCAATTCAGAATACTGATATAAGAGGAAAGGGTGAATTTGGTAGCTATTCTGGGATTGTTACAGGCGTTTACATGCACGGTATGGTTGTTGAGCTGGATCAAAAGGTGATGCTTCTGCTAACGGACCAGCAGCTCACTGTGCCACACAGTCTCAGAGTTGGTTCTGTTGTATGTTAATTAACTATTCTTCCATCACTTCATGTTAGAATACTTGCCATATTTTCTTGTGGAAGAGTGTATTTTGAGGGGAAAAAGTCAAAAAAAGCTTGTTGTTTATTATGTCTCTTAACAGATGATATTTTCTAGGTATCTCTGAAAAAGGTCCATTTTGTGAATCCTAAATTTCCTTGGACAAAGATGTTCATACTTGGCGCTTGCTGTAGGACGAGCATTTGTGTAGAGTCATTCTCCCCACTAGAAACTGGGTCAGAGCTTTTACTCCCATTTTAATGCTTTGCAATTGTGAATCCATGAGTGTCCTTGTATTCACATGGGTGATATTATACACTGCAGATGCCACTTGAAATCATGCTCCCAGAGCCTTCTTCAAAAGTTCATAGACTCCTTATCTTTTTCAGCCAGAATATGGTAGGAAAGAATCTGGGATCATCTAATTCACTTTTCTTGTTTCCTGATTGACTCACACGTGTTCATTATTTTGCCTCAGGGTTTTACTTGTCATCTCTTGTTTTAGGAAAAAGTTTGCTGGCATTTTATCTGAGAAGGATATCATAGGGTCAAAACATGTAAGCCTGCTTACATTCACATTTTTAATTAAATTATTTTATTGTTTGCATTCCTTTTTCTACTTACTTTACAAATTATTCTAAGCTGATATCGGCTATCACAAGGTGTTTCCAGAAGCTAGGATTGGCTCAAAAATATACTAATTCATATTTGCCACTATCAGCATTTCAATTTCGGGTAAATTTGCCTATATGATCCCAGTTAAGAAGAAATTGCAGTATATTTTTTTTCGCTCTTGTTGTCACCTTCACTTATTAACTTCCTATTTTGCAGCATGGAGTCTGTGTAGAATTCTGCAAGCATGATTGTTGTTCTTGTGCTAAGGATGCACACTACAGTTCCTTAAAACTGGTGTGGCCACTTGAGCTCTATATATTGCCTGAGTCATATCAAAAGTCTACCAGTTTATTTTCTAGTTGAAGATCTTCAACAATTAGTAAATATTTTATTTCAATAATGTGATCTTCAGGTCCCACCAATTTCTAGTTTAATCAGTTCATGTGAGGCAACATGGACGAAGATGCTTCATGACAGGAAAATTTGTTCAAGTTTTGTGTCTGACACTAATCAGAAAAATCCTTTGTCCTGTGTTGGGAGTTTTTATGCACAATCGGTGAGAAGAATGTTGAGCACTGAAGAAATTGGTGTTATTGTGCTCGGCATTTTAAAGGTCACAATCAATTTTAATTTTGCTCTTCTGAAATTGCTTTGTGCTTTTCTTTACATGGCATATGATCTTTTATGCGTGGAATGTTGACTTACAATATGGTACCGCATGCCCGTATGTATTTCCTGAATCTTGCACATACCTAGAAATAATATATTTGTACAGAAATGTCTAGTTGCTTTCTTGGAATTTATACATATTTTGAATAGAAGTCAATCCAAGGTTCTTGTAAATGTTGTCATCGGCATAAGCTTGGACATAATTATTTACAAATCTCCAACATTGGAAATTTGAAATTTGTCAGTTTGACTTGGATTATGTGGTTTATCCAGATTTCATCTTCTGGCAGATTTCAGCTTGTTGATGCAACTGGAAGCATTGATGTTGTATGTGACCTTCCATCAACTTGGAACTCTAACAGGATTTTTGAGGTGGTGATGTTTTTCATCTAAACAGTACAGTCAGACAACGTTCTGTTATTGATTGAAGTGCAAATGGTGTTATTTATTTACCTCCTGACTGGCTTATATTTTCATTCTTTTCAGGTGAGGGACTTCGTTGTAGTTATGGAAGGCATACCTGAAAGGATGCTTAACTTGGATGTTCTTTCGGATAAATCTTTATCTTGCCAAAGTATCTTTGATGATGCTCCATTGGTGAGAAAGATGGAGACATCACTTTATCTCTACTGCAATAGAATCGGTGAAGATTCTAGAAATCATCCATGTTCTATTTTCTTTGATTGGAAAGAAAACTTTGGTGAACTTGAAGGTGGGAGATTTCACTTGCTTATGTTAACACACAAATTTCCCATTCAGTGCAAGGTATGCATATTTTACTAATGCATGTTATATGTCATCATTGTCTCCCTTTTTTTCTTCTTTATACACTTCATTTTTTCATCTTTTTCAGTTCCAAGGAGATCACGTTATTTCAAAGAGGTCAAACGTGTTCTCTGAGGCCATAATCCTGCCCTGGGATTTACTACTTTCAGAAAAGGGCAGAGGTACTCTTGCAACTGATATTTCCATGGACCATCCTAGAGATTCTTTTGGAAATTTTACTAGATGCAAGAAACATTTTGCTAGTAAGAGGTGCAAAATTGATCTGGCTTCAAGCCAGTCTTTGGATGCTGGCTTGGATAATGCAGGGAATAGAGTACGTGGCCTTCTAGATGGTTCCTATAGTTCTCACAACAATTCTACAGAGGACAGATGTTTTAAGAACCCGCTAGAATATACATGTTTTATTACTAGTGAAAAAAATGTTAAATATCATTGCCGCGGAGTTTTGCGTTGCAGCAAGTCAGATGCTGAGATTGTTTCTGGTTGTGAACCACATATGAGGAAGGTACTACTGGAATTCAATTCTGATAGCCTTTGCATGTATCAGGTATGTTATGTTCCTTTTATTATCTAGCGATGGTGTGATCTTCTGTATTTTATGTCTGTTCACTATTTAACTAAAGCTGAAGAATTTATTGAATTGCAGGTTCTGAAAATTGGTGGTCTTTATATTATAAAACATCAGGATGAAGATATGTTATGCAGTGTAATTGAAGACCATGAAATCACTGGTGCTAAAGTAATCATCAATTCTGAGACACATCTTTGGAGTCTTAGGTTTTCATCTATGAAGAGTCTCCAAAGTTCTGATTTTTCTTATCTATTTTCATTACATAATTCACATGCCAGTGGTGATGAGGTTATTTCCGAAGGTTACCAGCAATTTCAAAGTCCAAGTCTGACATCTAATGGTGTGAATTATGAAATCTATTCAGATATGAACATATTTGTTCCTGCTGATGCTCTAAGTTTATTGGAAAATGATATCAAAGTATTGGAAGGCTGTCTTGTTGGGCCATCAGTTCCTTTTGAACAAGAATCAGACATTCATGACCGTTCTGGGGCCATGATTTCTTCATCAATGCAATCATCAAAAACTTCACACTATGGTCACCTGCTGCCTGAAGGGAACTTGATATCTTTACATGGACTTGTAGTGGCTGTTCATGATTGCGATCATCATTCTTTTGCCACACAAATAAGAGTTGACGGCAACAGTACTGGTCGCCTTCCAATGTTTCTCCAAGGAAGAGAAAGGACTTGTATTCATGTTCTGGTGGACCATCGCATAGTACTTCCTTGCTTACCCTTCCTTGCTATCCATAATGTCTTGAATTTGACACAAATTTTATTAATTAATTGAAACTACCCTAATGGCCAGGTCAGAATTTTTGGCAATCTATCTAAAAATGCTTACCCTATTGGATTAGGAAGAGACGTGTATGCAACCTTTCACCGAATTCTTGTGCTTAGGTATGATTGTCTAAATTTTGGTCATACGCTTTGGGCAGGATGCGTAATTTCTGATTTTTATCTCATTGTTTCAAGTATGATAACATTTTTTTTTGGCACTAATGTATCAGAGTTTAAGTATATATGCAGAATTCTGAAAATTCTCAGGTGCAAGCTGATGCTTTTGATTTCTGCAGATCTATTTCATATATAATGCTATATTCTTCTCCAAAGAATTATTGTAATTGGATCTCCTTATCATGAGAAAACAGAACATCCTAAGCAAAATAGAATTTTCTTTATTTGCTTATAGAAAATTTTGTACTCCTTGAGTGAGGAGCTGTGAATGGCTTTGTTTCACTTTCATCAGTTAAAACAAAGATTATCTTATTGTCCTTGTCCTCTCACTCTTTTAGCAAGCATTGAAATATGTTCCATTTGACCATGAAAGTCAAATCAAGTCCTTAGTTTCTGTCACAGGGATTATGGAATATGTTAATACAGTGCTTATAAATTTGCTTGTATCTCAGTTTAAAATATTGTTTCTAGCTTTATGTACAGTTAATGAACACATTGTTGCCGGCCTGCTTGGAAACAAGATGTTTTCTCCTTGTTCTTTTATCAAGCCATTTGCTTTCAGACTGACTAATTGAACAAATGTGTTCTATTCCCAGTGGGCAGAATGAATATATGTTAACACCTGTATCTTTCATCACAATCCACCACACTAGTTCGATACATCGCCATTTCAGTGGTGAATGTGTTAACTCATCTGGCACCATAGGCTTACACATTGTTGCCTCTCCAAATGCTGTTGTTCCTACCGCTTTGATATCTGAACTAGTGCAATTTCCGGAGCTTAAGCCAGTACAAATTCATTCCAGGGTAAGTTACGCTCAGTGGAGAAATTCGTGCCTTGCATGCTGATTGAAGTCATTTTCTCTCTGATTTGTTGTGTATTATTTTATTCCACTTTCACAATCAGTATTTAATCTATTATAGCTTGCTTCCTTGGTTTAACCTTTGGTTGCTTTGACAGGTTGTGGCAGTTTACATCCTTGTATTAGAGAGAAGTAGAAAGACTTTATTTTTGCAACCTAGTCTTCAATCCAGATCATCTATAGTTGACATCTCACTTGTTGGTTTTGTGTTGGGTACGTATTCAGTTCTTCTGATGTGGTGATATGACAAGATACTTCTTGGAAAAAGTGCCAATAAATTGCTCGAGAGCTTTGCATCATTCAGATTTTACGTGTACGAAAATCACACTATTTTATTGATATGAACTTATTAATTGAAAATACCAGACAATACAGACAATTGACTAAGCCCTGTTTGAGCCCCTTTTTTGTAAGAAATTGTTTTTTGGAATAGTGATTTTTTAAAGAATATATGGTTAAAATATAAGGAAAATTTTTTGGTTTGCATGTAAAATTATTTTAATGGGAGAATGTGTAGTTGAAAATAATATTTTTTTAAAAAATGGTGGCCAAAAATAGGCTGAATCTTGTTCCCAATTAACTTGAGGATTGTATGATAGAACACTTTAAGTTCAAATATATGGGTTGAAGATCGTGAGAGTTTTAAAGTCTCGAGATTCTCAAACCACCAAATGCAAGTCCCAGACATATTTTATAATTGTTCTCTTATATTTCTGCTTGATGATTTTAAATTGATTCTGTTGGCATCGAGGGAACTATGTACATATTGTCGGATAAAGATTATTTCAATATACTTCTTGAAACTTGAAGGTAGCATATTAGAATGTTTGGCTGTTAATATAACAATGTTTCCCTTGTCCGGCAAAAACAATCCCTTGTTAGTTTCGTTCTACCCCTCCATCTTGTGACTTTACTGAAATTGTCTGTTAAGGAATAGGAGCCTATTCAGACCGACACAAAACATATCCCTACTTCCTTAGTCATTCCATTCATTTATCCTCAATTGGGGCCATCTGACAGCATAGATTTCGTTTCTTATCTTGTGCATTTGAATATGACCACTCATTTTCATCTGCATTCATCTTATGCTCATTCTTGTCCTTTAACAGTGCAACACAATCCATAGAACGTAGCATGTCTAATCATTGTGTAGAAGTTGCCACTAACCTTACGAGAATCTTCCTAGCACACACGATTCTTGTACTCCACTTCATTGAACCGGCTTTAACAATAGGCATTACATCCTTTTTAATTCCTAATTGAAAATACCTAAAATGCTAAAACAATCATGGTTGGGGGGTTCAGCTTTCAGCTCAAACTTGGCTCTCTCTTTATCTATGAATCTATGCACTGTGACTTAATTAAAATTGCTTTGAGGGGAGGCTATTAATAAATATCCAGTCTGACATTTCAGGAAGTTTCAGACTGGCCACGAAATTGCAGTTATTGTCATATGATTTTCGTTATATTTATGTACATCTGGATCGATGTTGTATATAACAATATATTTGCAATTTGGTCTCTTGTTGCAATCTTAAAAGAGCATGTGGTTCCATTATCCTTTATTATAAATCATTCCTTTTATTTTCTGTTAGTGTTTGTCTTGATATTACATAGTAAGTGTTTTTAAATAATGTCAATGTCATGGCAATTAGAATATAATTGTATTTGATTGTGTAGCTTCGGGAAATTTGATGTTTTCCATTACTGCAGGATATCCCAAAATTTTGACCTCTTTCTGTCATTGATAGATATACCTCAATTATTCTTTTCCTTGTGTAGATGATGGGTCATCATCCTGTTGTTGCTGGGCTGACTGTGAGACTGCTGCAATCTTGCTTGGGTTACACACTGAGGAATATTCATGTGAAACTTATGCAGGAACTTTTGGGAGATCTAAGGCTAGAAAGGGGCTAGCAAGCCACCTAAACAAAATCTTACAGCGGCATAGCCAAGTTGTAGTAAAAAACTACGGATCCATGTTTGATTCTTCTAGTCAAGACCTCGCATTTTCTGTTGATTCGGATAATTTGATTAGTAGCTCTGATGAAGATCTCCTTAGAAGCTTGATTATAGGTGCTTGTTTTAGCACATTTCGGGTAAGCTAATGGGCCTACATGAAGAATACGAAAACCTGGCAGATAAAGAATGCTACTTCTGTCGTGTCAAGTAGATAATGGCAGACAAGCTGAGACAATATCATTTGTTCTGTAATTTGAGCTTAAATGTCAGTAGGAAAATATCATTAAAAAGTACTAGATTGGTTGTTTTAGGTAAAAATTTGAAACCCGAATCCTTCTCTATAGCCCTTTCCTGCAGTGTCTATAGCAGCTATGTATTGATGTACCAGCTTGATGCTTCATTTCTCCTGGCATATATGGCTTTTGCAGAATTCTGATTTTGGATCTATTACTGAAGCTAATTTTCATTCTCTCTGCAGACTGTTGTTTGTGTTCTCATGGATCCAAATGCCAGCAAGGACTTAGAACAGCGCTTAGTCAAACTGGGAATGACAATGCTTCCTTTGCAGAATGTATGGGCGACTAGCGTTCTTCACACAGATCCTCTCAAAGAAGCTAAGAACATTATTCAAGAGCTTGTATAAAAGTAACTATTTGTATTTTGATGAGGCTGAATGTTGTACATAACTGTTGTACTTTAACCAACTCTATATAGCACATCACTCCCTATAAAATAACCTATAATTTGATGCCTGCTGAAGATTGCTATTATGTATGTATTTGTTTACCAGATACTCCATGCACCTCAAGATTAAGGCCATGCGACTCTTGGAGGAGTGGAATGTTGATAGACTCGTTAGATTCAACTCTGACGCTCAACTCTATTAATGAAATTTATCTGTTGATGACTATTTTTAACCATATTCATAAGAAAATAATTGTTTTTTTTTTTTTTCTATTTTGTTGTTGTTTTGAACTTGGAACATGAATTTTATGTTTGGATCGAAATGGGAATGCTAATAGACGTGTCACTTAAAGTAGTTTATGTTACTTTCTTACGGAACTATAACCTGTTAATAGTTCTTGAAAAAGGGTTAATCAACCTATCCAACCATGAACATTAGAAATAGAGTAATGTTATTCATCCTCAGTGGGGATGAAAATACAGTTTATGTGACTTTAAATGATGGTTAATTGAAAAGTGGAATTAAATGATTTATTAAATTTCACTTATCATTTAATGTCACATTAACGCCACGTAGATTGTACTTTCATCCCTAGTGGAGATGAATAGTATTATTCTTAAAAATACGACAAAACATCTCTTCCGAAATCTCAATGAAGGGATGATATGTACATCACATGTTACCTCAAGACCCCTTGGGTTAGATTTTATCAAATGGGAAAAATTCACTTTCCCTACTTTATCTTTACACTATTTCAAAAATAACAAAACAACTTTTACATTTCAAAAATCAGATTTCTTGACCTATATATACACACATTTATAAATATTTATTTATTTATTTTAATATATAAAAAGATATAAAT